TTTAATAATTAATCAAATCATAAAAATGTAAAGTAAAAAAAAAAAAAAAGATTTCTAATTTCAATTCTTTTCTTTTAAACATTAAAAAATAAAAAACTAATTATTCAAATCATCAAAATTTAAAATATAAATTTTAAAGCAAAAACTATTAAAATAAAAAACTTTCAAATAATGAATTAATAATATAAATAAATTAATAATAATAATAATAATAATAAATAATATAAAAATAATAAACGATCCCAAATAAAACACTCAAATACATAATAATTAAATGTTTCAAAATATTTTTATTTCATTGAGTTGATGAAAAGCTAATAATTAATTAAATCAAAAAATATAAAATTAAAATAAATTAGCAATTTTAAAAATCAAAAATGAAAATTATACAACTACTAATCATAAAAATGTAAAATTAATTTATAAATAATTTAAAAACAAAACTATCAAAATAAAACACTTTTAATAATTAATCAAATCATAAATATGTAAAGTTCAAATACATTTTCAAATAAGATTTCTGATTTCAAACAAATTTTATATGATTTAGGTATTTAGGAATATTTTGTTACTTTACTAAGTGGTCAGACTTTTGAGGAAATTCTGTCATCATTTACACTCCCTCATGTTGTTCTAAACCTGTATGAGATTCTCTCTTCTGTTGAACCCAACATTAAGAATGCAGGTAACCAAACAGTTGCTACTATAGAAGTCAATGGCGACCGGCAACTGTGTGTTTCCCGTCTTCTTTAGTTCTCAACAGAAGAAACAACATGAGGGTGAGAAAATGATGACATAATTTTCATTCTTGGATGAAATAAGGACGCACCTGCAACCACTAGAAACACTCTAGCAACTGCATAGAAACCTAGAACCACTGTTAGCACTGTAGCTGTTAATAATAATATTAATATAGCGACACTGTAGTGACTGCTTATGTTTTGTTGTTACACGCTGCTGTTGTTGTGAGGTTCGTCTTTAGATCAGGTTGACGTTCACTGGTGTCACTGACCGCTGCTCTCATTTCTTCCCTTCTGTGTGCAGCTGAATAAAGACGCCGTGGCCGAACACGCGAAGAAGATGTGGTCTTTGCCCGGTGACCTGTCCGAGGCCGTCAACTCCTGCGTCCAGCCGCATTTCCCAGAGCATGTGGAGAAAGCCGGAGAGAACCACTCTGAAAACACCGGACAGTACAGCCATGTGTTCGTAGGATGAATGAACAACAGGAGTTCGACTTTAATATTTACCATTTTGATTTATTTGACACTTGTTTATATTTTAGTATACACTGTGTTCTTTTCATTAGGTAAGACAAAACTAAGGACATGTTTGCTTTAATGCGAATTAATACTCAACATATCCGAAAAATCAGGGGGAAATTATAGAGCTGTCACGATTCCTCGATTCAATTCGAGTACTCGATTTTAAGGTCTATTCTAATTACCACAAAAAATTATATAATTATCCGAATACTCGATTAATCGTCAGAATAATCGACCGATTACTCGATTACCGAAATAATCGTTAGTGACAGTCCTGGAAAATTAGTGTGTTGAATTAAAAAAATATCATGAAAACTGTCAAGATCACATCAGGGCCATATTTCACTTCAAAATAAAAAGGAAAAATAAATTACATTTTGCATTAAGAAAATTTAATTATGGATGTTTTAGGACCATTCATTTTTTTTTTTGCATTGTGACTTATATTTTAGATTTTTTTCACCAAATTCTCAATACTATAAAACAAAAATAAATATTTATAATCCATCGGCTATATGATATGATTTTTTAATATATATATATATATATTCTTCATACTTATTTTGGTTTATTTTATTTTATTAGATAAAATTATGCCCGTTTTAGGACCATTAATATGAATATATATATATAGAGAGAGAGAGATTTTATTAGATTTATTTTTTTGCTTATTATGAAGTGAAATATGATTTTAAATTAAATTAACCCTAAGATTTGTTGCTTTTTTTTTTTGCATTTTGACATTTCCTCATTTTGCCCTCCATTGTCGTACTGTAATGCATATACTCACACGCACAAATATTTATACTTATGTCATGTTTATTACATGGAGGTTAAGTCTAAGGGATCAGAATAATGTAATTTATGGCTATATGTCATTGACATTTATTTGAGTGACCAAACTGTGAAACTGTGAAAAATGATATGACCAGTAAGTTATGACAACATGTGTTTTTACATTACTTCAGCTCATCAAAATAAGTTAAGCAATTTTCAACTTTAATTTATAAGTTGTTCAATTCAACTCATTTTTTAAACCAGTTTAATGTAATTTAAGTTGAAATGACTTAAACAGCTAAGTTGATTGTACTTGAAAATTTAAGGCAGCAACTTATTTTTTTACAGTGCATAAACAAATATACTTTTCTGAGAGATGCACTATGGAGTTTTTTGTTGGTGGAGGTGATAGATGAACATAAAACACATTGGCATTGACAGCAAGCACTGTGTGCTACATAACTCTTACAGTTCACAGTTGGGCAGTCAATATCACTAAATAAACCCAGACCACGACTGACTGTATCTCGCTTATTACATATACTGACCTAATAAATAAATATGAAATACTGATGTGAGTGCAAATTATTTTATTATGTAAGTATAGAGCGTGTGGAGTGCTACTTTCCGCCTCTAACAGCTGTTAAAGGGGTCATATGATGCGATTTCATTTTTTCCTTTCTCTTTGGAGTGTTACAAGCTCTTGGTGCATAAAGAAGATCTGTAAAGTTGCAAAGACTAAAGTCTCAAATCCAAAGAGATATTCTTTATAAAAGTTGAGTTAACCACACCTACCTAAAACGGCTCGTTCTAACACGCCCCCACATATCTACGTCGCTCTGTGGGAAGATTTGCATAACGCCGCCCAAATGTTCACGCAAAGAAAGAAGGCGTAACTTTTATTCTCGCTGTAGTATTGTTGCTGCAGCCATGTCGTGAAGACGCTGTGTGTTTAGTTGTGAAAGCGAAACTACTTTGTTTGGTCTTCCAAAAGAGGACGATATCTGCTTCGTCATGCCTAGAGCTGATCGCTGAGGAAATACATCAACTTCGCGCTGTGGATCGCCAGATCGGCTTTCACCGTGGACGAAGCGGAGTCCAGCCCGGGGTCGTCACATGTGGTTGCCGATTCGTCGAATCCGCCGGCTGCACCGTTCTCAACCCCGCTGCCTCTGCTCACTCAAGCCCGGCCTCAGCTCACGCTAGGCCGCCGTGTTTTTGGTTGTGAAAGCGAAACTACTTTGGTCTTCCAAAAGAGGACACGACTACAAATCAGATGAGTTTTGTAAAAATCGACGCGTTTCAGAAAGGCGGGGCATAGAGGAGAAACAATAATGTACAGTATGTGGAAAATAATGTGTTTTTTTTTTACTTTAAACCACATAAACACATTTCATTACACCAAATACACAAAATAATGTTCTTTTTAGCAGCATCATATGACCCCTTTAAGATTTCAATGAGGGTCTTAAAATAGCTGAATAGATTCTGGATGGCAGAATATTTATTTTTGGCAGAAACAGGGTTGTTATAGTTAACTCAGCCTACAGTAAAACTATAAAGACATCTGTGAAAAACTTTTCTTAAACTTAAATAAAATGTTTTAAATAGGGTAAACTTTATATTATTTTATTGCAGCTAGTTGCCAAGGCAACATTTCTTGTTTTCATTTAGTTTAACCTGATGTACACAAAAAAAGTAAAAACACAACAACAACAACAATAATAAACATTTTCTTTACTTGAAATAAAATAAACTTTGACTGAAACATTCTAATATAACTAACGTTTTTTTAATGATGTCTCCAGTCATATCCGAAGTATAATATAATGTTCTGTGTTATATTTAGCAGTTCACTTCGTTGGTGCTGACATGTTGCGATTTTTTTGTGACCAGCCGAATACTTTGCATGCATAACTAATTAATTAATTAATAGGTAGATTAATCATAACTGTGAATAGCCACCCAAAATACGAGAATACTGCAATCATTTACTCAAATCTCAATTGCAATTGAAATAAAATAAACTTTAACTTTAAAAAACACGTAAACTTATTTTATCTCAGCCAAGGCAACATTTCTCATTTTCATTTAGTTAAAACTCGTAAAAATGATTAATTAATAACAAAATTACTCAAACATATATATAAATACAAATATATAAATATAAAACATAGTATCTCAATACGTTAATAGTTTCTTTTTACTCTGTGTAAATTGTAAAATCTGTTAAGATCACATCCATGTTGTATTTCATTTCAAATAGAGAAAAAAATGCATTTTACATATATACAAATACACACACACACACACACACACATATTTTTGACACATTGTTTGATTGTGTTTCTGAACTCTGACACACTGATGTGTGGTTGAATGTCCTCACACACTCACACTCGCATCTTCACTGACTCATGATGGGTTCTCCTGCCCGCTGTTAGATAAAATGCTCATCAACAAACTTCATCTAGTCTGGTGCATGTGTGAGCGGCAACGAGAAAGTACAGAAGACAATAGCTATGTTTGGAAACTTATGCTTGCTCTCTCGACTGAAGCAGCTGGGCTTTACTTGATTCTCCATCAATCATGTTTTAGAGTCTCAAATCTGATCCTCAGGATCTTTTGAGGAGCGTTTGTTTCCAGAAGCTTTACTTTCACTGTTCCTCAACGCAGGGGCGGATCTAGCGGAGGGGCAACTGCATTATCACAGAATAAAATATAAATGTAAGCAGTGTTTTGTGTGTGTGTGTGTGTTGAAGGCAGTGATAGTCTGTTTTGTGCTGGAATGTGTGTGTTATCAGTCGGTCTGTTGGCTTTGGCCTTCACATGTTATTCACATGCACAGAGGGGGTGAGTGTGTCATGAACTAATTAGCATGTCCGTCTGATCGCTCTGCACACACACACACACACACACACAGAGAGATCTCCCATCTGCCCGTGACTCGTGTCTCTTCTCACTCTGAACACAAGCCGTTCTCATGTTCTCAATGAGCAAATCACATCATTACGTGTCACAATTTCCCATTCTGAATGCACATTTGCAGGATTCACAAAAAAGTGACTGAACTAGAAGTTACACATTTTTAAGTCTCACTATCTATGCTATAATTAATTAATCAATCGGTAGATTAATCATAACTGTGAATAGCCACCCAAAATATGAGAATTCTGCAATCATTTACTCAAACCTCAATTGCTCTTGTACGGACTCAAACTTGGCATGATGCAATTGTTTCACAAGACACAAGAACCAACAGTTTGATGTTTTTAGAGAAAATACAGTATATATATATATATATACTGTACATACATATTCACATATACATATATATATATATATATATAGGCCGAGAGCCTTTTCCAGGCATGTTATATTCTAGTGATAACAGAACTATTTACTCCGCAGAATATTACTCCGCTTGCAGACTTTC